TTAAATGAGGCATCTCTCTGACTTCAGCTAATTGTGCTTTTAGGAATTAGAAGTCAGACACATTGCAGAAGTATATGTAGTTTGCTTCATTTTTATTACTGTTTCCATATCAAAATGTAAATAAACACTGAAGTGCAAACTCACTGACAGATGTAAAGAAGCATATAGAGGTAAACAGATTTGTGGAATGAAATGCCTGCCATCACATGCAGTTATAGGATCTTAATTCTAATTTTTTTCTCATAAATCAGAAAATCATTTCAGGATGTCATCAAGCTCTAAACACTCTGGTCTTCTCCCCAAGTCTAGATAAGCTCTTTCAGTTCAGGACTGTAAATGAAATTGTTTTTGCCTGATTGAAACCTTCCCAAAGAATGTCTTATTGCTAGTTATCTATCTGTCTTATCCCTAGGTTTCCCTACAAACAAAATTTCATTCAAAATTCTTTCAGCCCTTAAAAATTTAGGCTCTGATGCAATCCTGGGTCTCATAGATATCTCAAAAATTTATCCTGTAACTTTAACGAGCTTAGAGAGAAAATACAGAGGATTACAGGTGCAGGGGTGGCGTTATTTAAATTTTCTCAGAACACAGTGCAGGTCTGAACTATGATAAAAGGGCTGTGCAGAGGGGCTTTCATGCCTGTGTACCTGTTACAGTGGAAATACACATTTCAGTTTAACAACTGGTATTTATGATTCTAGAAATACCATTAGCTACTATGGTGATGAAAATTGATTTAATGGTAATTTTGAAACTTTTAACTCCATAGGATTTTGTACGTGACTGTAGGCATCTGTTTACAGTCTCCCCTCCTGCAGCTATTTAAACAACTTTACATGGTAATTTAGCAGCCTGAAGTATGAAAAACATGAAAGGTCAGGTTTTCACACTTAAATAAGTCCTTCTGGATTGTAAAAAGGTTGCTAGCTTTTTGTTATTCTCTTGCAAGTTTAGCTAGAGATGTTTAAAATGAGATTGAAGGACTGAAGATTTTTTTTACTGGTAGTAACTGTCCTGTTCTTTTCATACACCTGCATTTTATTGTCAGCATATCCTGTCATTTATTCAAATATATTGCATGAGCAATTTCTCACATTGCAATTTCATGAATATATAATCCACACAGAAAATTAGCATACAGCATTTGGTATACTCCTAGATGAAAAATCTACCAAAAAAGTAAATCTTTTCCTTCACATTTTAATTATATGTTCATACAACCTATGCAAATTTTATGCTTCAATAGCAGTCTTACAAGGCACAGAACACTACAGCTTCAAACAACCCTATCAAATCAAACATTCTGCATTATCAGTATCACTGGTATTCAAATTTTCTTTTCAAGCCACTTTTTTAACCTCTTTCATATTTTCTTGTTTTCTACCTGCCTATTGACATGAAGGAAAAATGGATAGTTGTTATTAATAGCTACTATGAGACTTGTTTAGTAAGTGTCTTGATTTGACCTCTTTTTCTAGAGACATACAAAATATAATACCTATTTAAAATCTAACTGCTCCCAGCACTTGAAAATTTCACCCAGGAGAACAGTCAAAAGTATGAAGCCTGAGGGAAACACTACATTGGAGGATGGTAGCTAGAATTTAGATAAAATTTCCGAAAATAGTTTAGCGATGAAAAACGCCAGTGATTTTCAGGAACATTCAGAATTCCAGATTCCATTTTCATTAATTATTCAGAATAATCTAAAAATTATACATGTATTCTGAAAAAAGAGCTGACCCTTATCACCAAAGCCTTTTAAGTAAGCAGCATTCTGAACAACCTCTGGAGTTGCAGGAAGGGGCAAGAGCAAGCACACAGCAGTTGTACAATATATTCTCACAGCTCATGGGACATTAGATTTGGATGCTCAGAGAATGGGGGAAGCCAAAAGCATTTTTTTACATCTTTATCTAAAAACCCAGGGCAGCATAGATGAACTCAGAGTGTGTTTCGGAATGTGTCACCTTCTGTCTACTCTACATGCATCATCACCTTCAGATGCCTAAAAGATTTCAGTTAATACTACACATGACGGCTCATTGCCCACCAGTAGGTTATTATCAGCTTCTAGGCCAGTTCTGAATAAAATGAGTGCATTACTTTTGACCTAAGAGGAACTGTATAGGAAATGTATTTCCCTGTGGAATAATATAGTTGAGATCAGCTGGAACACTCAGTTATAGAAGCTCTCTAGTTTGGAGAGAATGGAATGAGAGTGACAACAAACTATTCAGAATTTAAAAAATCTGGGATCAACTTATTATTCTTGGCTTATCTTTCAGAATTTAAATGCAGTCTCCTGGCCCTTTCTCTTCCCTCACCTTATCCAGGGATGCAGGTAGGCTGAAAATAGAGTGAAGGTTTGGGAGCTAGAGACAGACAGGCAGACAGAGTGAGTAGGTTTAATATTTAAACTTGTCTATTAACTCAAAAAAAAATGAGGTTATGTTACAAAAAATTCTCTTTGTAGTTGCAGATATGTAAAGATGAAAAATCATCTTGCACCCATGCCCTATGGCTATGAGCTGCATTTATTAAACGAGGAGCCATGTCACCAGTCTAGAGTGAAGCAACAAACAACTGTTAATTCTCTTTTGACAACATTCAACAACTATCTTGGCCAGACCATCCTTCTCTAAAGCTCCTGGCCATTGTCAGTAAGAATCTTGTCAGCCAGATCTGTTCTGATATAAATTAAAGTAAGTCATGCTGCTTACTTGTTGCAATACATTATGACACCTCTTCAGGTTTGTTGATTGAGGGTGCTTTAGTCACAGCCCAAGTAACTGTCTCAAAGGGAACAGGACTTTGACAGAACAAAGCTTTGTAACTGTAAAAAACTCCAAACCTAAATCAAAGCAACAAATAAAACAAACAAACAAGGTACTGGACAACAAACTTTGTCTGAAACACATTACATACAAAAGGTAACAACCTAATCTGCAATGCAAACAATTTAACCAATGTATCTCTACAAGGAAAATAAACCTGATATTTTGGGTAAAAGAGGTATCCCTATATAGTGTCGGTGCTCAACCAAGCTATTGAGCAACATCACAAAAAACTTATGCAACCTCATCAATAACCTGACTGCATAAGGTCATTGTTTATGCACAATAATCAAACACATGTAACACAGCCAAGTGTAATTCCATTTTGGTAAACAAACATCTAGTATACAAATGTAAATCATGTTAGATGGCTTAGATTCTAAAATCTTTTCAGTTACTACAGGACAACCATGTAGAGCCCTTTTAATAGTCATTGGAAAAGGGATATAGTTTAGTTGTAAAAGACTAACTAAATATTCATTAAAAAGTAATCTGTGTGCACACACCAACCACAGCAAACATGGGTGAGAAGGATTAATAGAGGTTCATCCTAAAATACTTGTTGATTAACACTAGTGTCCAAAGGCCCCTATTAGGATTAGGTGCTGCTTGTCCTAACTGCATCAAATTCTTTTATCATGTAAGAGAGATAGTCCCTGTACTCAGGATTTGACAATATCGTATTTATTCTGGAAATATTATGCGTATGTCCAGAAAATGCCAAAATGCTGACAGGTTTTTGATCCTGCTTTTGCAACATGCTAAGCTTTCCACCTCTGTATTTTTAATTAGGAGAGCTTTGTACAAAGCAGCTAAAGGACAAGCAAAGAGAAGTGGAAAGAAAAATGCTGTTTCCTCCAGTCCTGTACAACATTGAAGTATTCCTGAAAACACCATCTAGTTACAAGGTCAGTACAGATTTGTAGAGTTCCTGAGACAAACCAAGTCATGCATAAGCACAGGTTTTGGGAAGAGTTTTTCAATGCAAGTGAACAAAACTTCAAATCTACTGAAGCACAGAAACTTCTGGATTGAAAGAGATTCCTTGAGAGCACTTAGTTCAACCCCACAGCTCAGAGCAGGTTGTGCAGGACCATGTCCAGATAGGGTTTGGAATATCTCAAAGAATGGCTGAAGTCTGATCAAAGTCCTAGTGCAAGTTTGGCTCCCTCTGATTTTCAGGAATGACTGACATATTTTCTTAGGAGACAGTCAGCTTGGTTTGGTGCTATTGTTTCAGTTTCTGTCAGTTCAAACTAACAGCTCTGCAGCAGCTTTTTCTGCTTTTCCCAACAGAAGGGCTGACTAATTATTTTTAAGCAGCCCTTTGGGTTATTATAGAAGCTGAAATCAGCAAAATCTTAACAACTGGAATAGTCTGTACCCTTAAAACATAAGAATATTGCAGTCTCTAGCCATAACGTTCTGTCATCCAGTATGGGAACAGTGTCCTAGGCTGACACATAAACGACAGCTAACTAAAATGCCACAGTATTCTCTTCCTGTTGCCAATTCATATCTAAAAGCTGAGAGAAAAATACACTCCTAGTGACAGCTTTGAAACAAGTCAATGTGTGACAGTAATCAGTTCTCTTCTGTCAAGTTGGATTCCAGGAAAAATAATAGGTTTTTTTAAGGCTATGTGCCAACGTTGTCAAGGAATAAGAACAAAGGCACAAAGTAGTGCTTGGCTAAATCCTCAGAAATAAAGACTATGGGCGTGCAGTGAAGAGGGCTGCTGGCTACCTGAGAAAAGGACAATTCTGGTAGATTGTGAGGAAGTTGTAATGGCTGGCTCAAAAGGCTCTGAAATAGTGAGAAGAAGAAATAGAAGAGGGCATGCCTGTTCAACAGGCTTGTGGAGGTTTTGCAGGATGACAGAAACAAAAAATAAAGATTTACAAATGCAAAAACAAAAAAGAGAAGAAATGAAATTATGTGGGGAGAATCAGAGGGCTTCACATCAGCTACAAGGATATGATAAAAATCAAATAAAGGACCAGTACATTGGTAATGTCAGTGATGTCTGTTGGAGTGAGGGACCAATGAATGGCAGTGTTTCTGATGGAAAAACAAGAGTTCAGAGCATTATCACATCAGGGAACAAAAATCAAACAAAGCAACATACAGCCCCCACCCCTAATGAGGGAAAAGCCTCACCTATTTTTTTCTGTCTCAGAGTTCTTCCCCTTTATCAAATCACAAGAGCAAAAAATCTGAAATTAGAGAGTAGAAAACCTGTTAGGAAATTCTGGAGTGACAACGTCACTAAGAGAAAATGGTCATTTCCCTTCTCAGCCCCTAACTGAAGCTCTGTCTGTCCTTCCCCTTCACAAGAAAAGCAAGACATTTTAACAATACTGAAGAAGCTGTTCTGCAAACCCAGACATACAAATTTGAAAACCATATCTGCAAAGCAAATAAACCTTGACTGGCTTTAATCAGTGGCCTAAATGCAGTCTAAGGTAGTGCCACAGAAATCAGGGGCTAAGAGACCTCTGGACACCATCTAGTCCAACCCCACTGCTAGGCTGTTGTGTCTCTATTTCCTCAGCTTCTCCACTTTACATTTAAAACCCAATACTTCCCTTTGCTTTGATTCACCTTTAACTTCAGTGACCATGACATAGCTGTTAGCTTTTCTGTCTCTTATGTCACTTCACATGTTGACAGAAGGTGTAATCCATATCTTTAGCACAAAATCTTGAAATATTCAAAAATTAAGATGAAACTTCTTCTTCTTGGTTATATGGAAGTCACAAAGAAAAAACCCTTCAGGTTTCAGGTAGCCTTTCTTGACAACAAAAAGTGTTGATTCAGTAGTGAAATGATGCTGTGCCTCTGGCCAAAGTTAGTTAAGAAATTTCCGCACTGTAAATTGGAACAGAGAAAAAAACCTGATTTAATATATAAAATAATTCTCTCCACATGCCCCAGGCCTTTCCAAAACTCACTAAATTTCACGATTTCATAATGATGTGCCAACTAAAGGGAATAGGAAGGTGTAGAAAAGGCAAAGGAATCATGCACTTAAAGAAGAGAAACACTGAATCTTTATTACAGAAAAAAAATAAAAAAGGTGGTCTAAGCATGGAATTACTGCCCTTGCCCCCTGCTCTTCCTCTTTGTCTTTGAATTCACTCAACAAATCTCTGAACAGAGCACTGACTAAAGAGCAGGGCTCACCATACATGAGTTAAGCTTTCAGAGGCATTTGTAGGTTTATGTAAGTTCTTGCCATGGTTTTACTGCCAAATTCTTTTGAGCAGTGTTTGCTATGTAAATAACAGAAGCATAATACTCATCAGCTAACTGGACAGGTCAGATCTTGGGCTTCGACCTTAAGACTAAACTTACTGAAAACAAATCTTAGCATTAGTGGAATCTTGCCAGCAACTATAAGGCGATACAAGTTGTCTCCAGCCCTCCAAATTTCACACCTGAGGCAAAAGGACTCCTGCTGAACCCAGAAGGCTCTGGGTTCAAAACAGTGTTTGCACCGTGCATCCATCACTTGTGATTCAAGTGTTTTTAATCTCTCATGACTAGAGACCAATTCTAATCATTTGCACTGCAAAGATTCTCTGACATGGTTCTACAAACATGATAAAGCCAAGCCTAAACGAACTCGGTATTTTCCTGAAAAGAAAAAACAAACAAACCAGGAAAAGTTTGCTGAAAGTTACCAAAAAAAAATAGACTAAATGAGCTGAAAACAAGACGTAAGTTGTAGTTAACTCTAGGCTCCTTCTCTAAATGCTTGAGCGTCACATCTGAGACAGCCAGAAAGAAATCCCCGTCATTTAAATCACATGGTTTACGGGGCTGGGGCTCCAGGAACATCATGACATTCGTAACGAGGACTCAGCAAGGATCGCCCGTTTCTCTCTGGAGTCAACGAGCACCTCGCTGTCACGTCCCTGCTCCCACACTGCAGCCAGAGCACAACGCCAGCAACTTCTGCAGCCGTCCTGAACTCCTGCAGCCGCTACCTCCATCGCTCCGGCGAACAGCTCCCGACCGGCTGCCGCCTCCCGCATGTCCCGGCCGGGCTCCGGCTGCCAGGCAGCGGTTCGCAGGTGCGAGGCGTGCCGGGCACGGCGCTGCCCTGCGGGGGGACGGAGCCGGCCGGAGCTCGCTGTGCCCGAGCTGCCGCGCTCGGCCCCGCCGCAGACCGCACCGCCCCAGGGA